GAGGGTATGAACGCGCGCGCGACGACAATGACCGGGCGGCAGCTACCTAGCAGAACGATATCTCTTTGACCAAACCCTAAGAAAGGATCCAATCCCTATGTCCTCTGTTCTTTTTGTTGCCAAGCTGCCGCCGCATAAAAGCAAAAAGAAGAGCAAAACCAGAAGGCCGTTCCTGTACCCGTATATACTCCAACACCATACAAAGAGACCAAAGGAGATCAAAGTATGCACACGAAGAACTTCGTGGAGTGACGCCAGTGATATGAGCCAGTAAGGATGTTGACGACAATAAAGCCATGCTAAACCACTCGCTCGTAACTCAGGATGCATCTCCCACGGACAGCTGTCACGAATTACCAGCCAAACTGCTCGCAGTGAAGCTCCACGGCTGGACCAGATGTGCGGATGCACCTGGCAGTCGTATTGCGGACCTGCGTCATTAGGCTCTCAGGGCCACAGCCCATGACGAGAACTCGCTCGCCAGAGGGCGTCTCATCAATAGCATTCTGGATGATCTTGGCGACGTCGGGGCGTCCGTAGTGAACAGGGATACCGCCCAAGCTGTTCAAAGCTCCGTTCTGCTGGATGGTGGGAGACGAAGGCGATGTGGCATCAGACTCAAAGCCGGACTTCTCGGGGTCGGACACGGTGCGAGTGTTGATACGAGGAGGCTGCTGAGGAACGCCGTTGGTGGTCTCGAATTTCTCAGATGAAGGGGTGAAGGGTGTCGATGCCTCAGACGAGATGGTGCCCGAGCGGGATCGATCCTCCTTGGAAGAGCCGGGAGTCTGGGAAGAGGAGCCCTGACTTCCAGGCGCGCGGGTGACGTAGAGTTGGATGTCAGCACCGAGGGCCTGACGAATAGTGGAAAGGTGACCGGCGAACCACTCGAGACGAGCTGAGAGATCTGATTAGTTTGGGAGTTTGGGAGACAAAGTTAATCGTGAAATGTACTTACCCGGATCCTTGACCATCCAGACAAAAGTGACACTCGGCATAGAACCCTGTGCGACCTTCTTGAACAGGTTGAGGACCGTGCCAACAGTGAAGCTGGCTCCACTACCTCCAGCGACGAGTACGATCTTGTTGTACTCGGAAGGGTTGGGGAACGTTCCATAGGAGCCCTCAACGGAAGCCTTGAGGGTTGCACCGGGGTTCTGGACTGCGTATTCGTGGAGCTCGCGGGTGAAGCCATCGTACGAGTTGATGACAAACTCGAGAGGGTTCATGGCGGCAATGGTGAAAGGGTGCATCTCCAGAGCGCGGATCTTGGGAACCCATAGGAAGCAGTGTTCTCCAGAACTTGCGCCAACGGGGGCCTTCTTGAGGATGATGCGAGTGCCACCGTGGGGGAGCGGGTAGACGGTTGCGTTGTTGTTGAAGCTGTAGAGCACGACGCGAATGAATCTCACAACGCGGTCCGCAACCCAGATACCAGCAGCAACAGCCGTAATGATGATGATCTTCTTGCTAAGTTCGGGCTGGTGAAGGCCGACGAGAACCATCGAAATTGCGAAGAAGGACACGTGAAGAATGTAGAAGAGCTCATAGTACCACAATCGTACGATGGCTCCGGCGAGCACAAGAGAAAGGAATGTGAACCCGGAGGCTATGCCGTAGATTTCTTCAGCAACACGAAGGCGTGCCATGTTACCAGCCTCGATGAAGTAGGCGGAGTATGTGGCACCGTGGACAATGATAAGGACCATGGTGATGTATCCGGCGATTTGGTGCAAGACATTGAGCCTCTCGTAAGACCAAGCGGTTAGGAAGCCGAGAGGAGTGTTCTTCAGGCTGAGGAAGACCACGAAGGCGATGTTGGCGATGGACAGCCTGTAAAGGATCAGTTTCTGGTGTTTCCAAAGATGCTAATGGTATTCGAGGCTTTGTAAAACCTACCATCCTGCGCGAGCCGCAATGACCGTGAGATAGGGAAGAGCGGAGGCGTCGATGTGAGTGAATAGCAGGGCGATGTTGATTACGAGGTAGCTAAGAGCTACAACGAAGTGGCCGGTGGATGGCAGGGCAGGAAACTTGTAGACGGTGACTCTTCGGATGGATCTATGTGGTGGTCAGTAATCTTATGCGACAAAGTACAAGCTGATTTATTCTCGAGCCTTACCGTGACACAAAGAGGAACGGCTTTGCCAGACCAGATAGCTTCGTATTAAGACCGGCCTTTGAAGCACCACGACGACCAAGATGGAAGACGATGAAGAGGCCCATGATAGAAGCCAGGGCGATGGCGAAGTAAATCATCGCCTCCTGGTTCAGCTTCGTCCGCTTTGCGAAGAGCAAAGGGTAAGCTGAGGGGCCACTAGCTCCTCCAGCCATTTTTGCGCGTAGTCGTGCGGATGAGTGAGCAATTTGAGGCTATTCGCAGTCTGGAGAAGGGATGGAGGATTAGCGCGGTGAGCAAGGTTGTCGTCGTGAGTTGAAGTGAATCGAAAGGACGGATGAGAAGCGGGAATGTGCCAAGTTTATAACAAGAAGGTATTGTTATGATGTGTTGACGAGGGTGTGAAAGAAGACTCGTTGATAAGAATGGCGCGGAGGGTCTCAGAGTATTGTGATGAAGAGGGAGGATACTTACTCGGGACGCGGCAGTGAGAGGTGTGTGTGAAGTAGAAAAAACCTGGAAGACCCCCGTTTGCGGCAAGCGGGAGCGGGAGAGGGTGAGGAAGAATAAAGTGAAGCGTTGTGTACCGGAGATAATATTGAGGTGAGGTGAATATGTGTGAAGGAGGGGGGGCCAGGTGGTGGTGGTGGTGGAGGTTGGCCCGGGTAGGTTGAGTAAGTAGGGAAGGAGGTCAGGTACACAGTCCAGGTCGTGCCTTCCTTGAGATTTTAGATTCATCCCACCCTTGTGGCTTAGAATCGATCTTATTTTAAGGTAAGGTAGAAAGAAAGAAAAATAATAGCCAACCCTGAATATTACGAGACTGTAAGGTTTGGCAGAGCGGATCTGTCTGGGAAGGAGTTGCTACTACCTGATTCTTTCCCTAGAGCGTACCTTCCTTGCCTTTTCCCTATACCTCCCTACCGATTCCTATCTCTTCCTTCATCTTGTACTTTTGAGATGTATCTGATGATGAAGAGGGCGTTGAAAAACTCTGAAAAAAGGCGTCGAGTCCTGCCACTCTATGTAACTCATACGTGAACTTACACAAGTCGTCTGCATGCCCCACTTACACGCTGTCCTTGGATGAATGCGGTCTACCGACGTAGTTCCCGTGGCTTGACCCGCGTGGCTTTTTCTCCCACTCACCCTTATTTCTTTTCTTTTCCTGATCATCCCCTCCTTTCCTGATTGCAGCTGGACTTCAGATAGCAGGGCAAACGTTCAGATAAGAAAGAAGAGGGAGGGTATCACCGTCAGACTCGAGGGCGATCAGCCCAAGGTTGCCCCGATGAAAATGTTGCAATGATAGCCGTCGGATTGTGTATTCAGTCTAGACCTTCCCTTCACGGCCGGCCACCCGCTTCACATGGTACCCTCTCTCAATTTGTTGGCCCTCTCATGTTGCTTTGCTTACAACGCACTTACACAACGGTGGTCCCAAAGACCTGTGCATACCAGGGACCGACTGCCCAGCTCCATAAACATCCATGTGAGACAAGCGCCACGTTCCCCAGATAAGTCGATCCGTTGAAGTCGACAAGAAAAAAACAGGGACTTCCCCCTCTCACACGGTAGGGTATCTACATCTCTCTCGTCCAGCCCCGAGACTCGAAGATGCCAAGCAAAAGAATAACAAGCCTTGGTTCATGTGGAGAGCCTCGAGCCGTTCCTGGACAGCTGCGTCGTACGGCCGCTGAGTAAAAGAGCTCAGACACCGTACGTGTACACATATCGCCGCTCCATGCCAATGCCCAATGGCGAGATAGCCAACCCCATCTTCGACGAGGGTCCTTTTCGATGCCGGTAGCCGGTGTAACTTTCACGCCATCTTGTTCTCCGCAGCTGGAGCAGGCGCAGCAGCAGGGCGGGAGGGGAGCTTGGACAGCGGTAAGCGGGAAGGGAGGCGAGAAGAAAAGACGGGGGAAATTGTTTGCCAGGGAAGGTCTCACGGATCGTGGATCTAGATTAATATGGATTCCCCTACGAGGATTTGAGAATTTGAGAAACAGAGAGGGCCGTATGGTCTAGCTCCATAGAGCCTGGACTAGCTGTTTTGGTTTGGTCAGCTTGACAAAGCACTCTACGTTTCTTTTGCGTTGCGATGGAAAAGACCATGGTCCATAGACGAGGTACTTTTGTGTAGGGTACATACTATGGCAAGGAAAGGGTAGGCGAGCAAAGTTCGTTGAGGTTAAAGTAGAGTGGTCCGTCACGCCTATGATGAACAGCCCCTCGACCCCACCGTTGTCTGCAGCATGCCGTGAACCGCCGCCAGGACTCGGACGGGGCCTCGCTACACAGCACACAGCCAAAGACGGAAGCACGGGGGTCGTTGACACAATTTGGGTGAATCGAGCCAAACCGCAAAAAGAAACGAGACAACGCCAAGGAGGGACAGAATCCGCCTCACAAGCCAGACACTGTCATGGCCGAGGGCTGAGGGCTGAGTGAAAGCCAGGCGTCCGGCTCCAAAATGCATCCAGATAGTAGCATCCAGTGTGGAGCTCTGGTATCAGCGTGCCTATCTGCATCTTGCAGATAGATTGACTTGCCTAGATGGGATAGAAACATGATTGCAAAGGCCCTCGTACGGGCCGTGTTTTTCGGGTACAAGTTGGAGCCCAAAAATCCCTTGTGAGAGAGATCCTTGGAATGTCTTGTCAGCAGCAAATCTTGTCGACCTCCTCAAAGTCACCTGCTAAAAGGGTGACCCTGGTCCCCCTTGACCTTGCTGCATTAGGCCGTGATCCGTTAGTCGTGATCTTCGCCATAGTCCACCCGCGTCTAATCCCCGAGAGGGTAAGTCGTCAAGGGCTTGCTTGACAGGCCCCGTGTTTTCGCTTGGAAACGGCACCGTTCCAGTGGGGGTTTCCTCGACTTACACGCCGCCTCCGGGGACGGGATGAACTAGAGGTGCCAGGGCCTGACGGGAGAGCGCGGGAGGACGGGACATGAAGTGAGTGGCGTGGATCTGGCCTGGCCAGTGCTGGACTACACTCGTCGTCGTCCACTTCAATCCGTAGTTTGACAGTCCGTCAAGAACTCTCAGTGATATGTGACGCGACGCGGCTGGCCAAAGTGTGCTTCCAGCCAGCTTAGACTCGTCACATTGCACAGCTGGCTGGTGCTCGTTGCCGCCATCGCCGGAAGCAGCCGCGCGCGCTGCGTCAGTAGGGCAAAGACTGCCTTCATACATACAACTCGAAGCGACAGCGTTGATGTACGTTAAAGTCAGCCGGCGAGGGTGTCCAATGAGATGGAGCTAGGTCGAGCAATCTAATCAATCTGTTGTAGAAGGCGGCGGCGAATGGCATGAGGTAGGCTTTCGGTCGGTGACACTCCCCAAGCCGTCTAGCCAGAGTGGGCGGGCAAATAGCTGCTCCGAGGCCAGGATGCCGTTGTATCGTGCTCATTTGCGTAGCATCGCGTGTACCAGACTTTGTCGCGTAACGACTTGCCCGTTTCTCTCGCTCGTGCGTCTGGCTCCGATAGTCTGGTAGCCTTGGTAGAGGTCTGATTCATCTTCAAAAGACAAATGTCTTGGTGAAAGCAGCCGCTGCCTTGCAAATCCACGCGTACCATACCGGAGGGCAAGCGATACGCCGGATCCGGAACGATGCAATTCCGTCTAGCGGGCTGGCAGATTACCGTTGACTTTGTTGGGCGTCATGGATCTGGTGCTTCCGTTGCTTCTCGAGCTGTCACTTTGCGGAACAACTCACTCGTTCTCTGGAGTACAGAGTTGCTCATCCACGTGTTCTCGGGCGTGATTTGAGGTGAAAGTGCGGAGACGATGGGAAGCGGCAGGTTCTGAGGCACGCCAAAATGCAGTCGTTTTCGTTGGGTGCCAGAACCCAAAGGTGCCTCCGTCACAACAGATGCAGCTAAGCATGATGTGCCTAGATCGTGCCTGTCTTTGCGTGCCACTCACATCATCTTTCAGTGATGAGAAAGCCACACCCCTTGACCATTCCAGGTCCACGTTTGGGCTGAGACAGTTGACGTGCGCACTGGCGACGCAGGTTGAGGCTCGTGTACATGCCGTTCCCGAGACAAGATCCAGATCTGTCTGGCCTGGTACTGATTGCTGAGGGTGGATCGGTTTGAGTTGACCTATGACTTGAATATACAAGCGGGAGAGGCGCAAAAGGCTGAGTCGGAAGGAAGAGTCATGTTGGACCTATTGGCAGCAGGGCGCAGTTGCGCTGGTATCAGTGCCACGAAGAGGGAGCCCGGAGAAGAGAAGCAGGAGAGGAATGCAATGGTGTGGTGAACAATCCACCCGCGCGGGTAACTACGCTAAACGAGGAAAGGACTTAGGAGAAGTAGATAGCAAGGTACATCCCTCAATGCGATGCCAAGGCTTCGATGGTAGTATCTCAGTAACTACTGGCAATCTCAATCCCCAGTCTTCCTCCTCCCGGCCCCACCATCCGCTTTCTCGACATCAATTTGACTTCAGTCGCCTGCCCACCACTACCGACGTCAACCTAGACGACACACACTTCCGCATTTGTCATTGGCAGATTCCAACGTTCACTCAAGGCCGCCTTCATCAACATACTTCGCTGCCCTGGTCAACGGGGAAACACATGAATCAGCTGGCCGCGCGGATGCAGAGACAGAGACAGAGACAAACGCCACTTCACCTATCGACTCTAACTCTAGGAACAGGATCTCAACATCGTTACAAGTGACTAACACCACGCGGCGATAGCAGCCAGGTCTTTGTAGATTGCAAATCGATGGCGAAAAACAAACAAGCATCCGGTATGCATTCTCATTTGCTCCTTTCTGGGGCCAACCCGACATCAAAACCGCTTTGCAGATCATCATCCTCTTGCAGAATTCTCTCTAGTCGAAGCGTACGCAATCTCTTTACCGGACACATCCGCTGTCGCGCGAGCCTACACTGGGGACGATACCTTGAACGTCTCTCCAAATCGCTGAAGCACCTCGGACGCCTCCTGCGTCAACTCTATCTCCGCCGGCCTCGAACCATCTGACTCCATAAAGTTATGGAACATGAGTCCACCATCAGTCTGGTGCTTTGGACAGAGGCGAGGTTTAAACTTGCAGTCGCAAGCGGAAGCGTCGTCAGCTTTTTCGTTTAGCTGTACCTCCAGACTGTTCTGCAAGGAACTCCATGGCTTCTTGATCTCTCCTGCGTCTTCAGAAGCCGTCGCTTGCTCGAACAATGCCCCGGCGACCTTGCGCCTCTCTGAGGCATTAGCTTCGAGCCCTTCGATCTTTCCAAGCTCAAGATTGGCGTACGATCTGAGGAGATTGATGGATCGCCAAACCTCTGCTGTTTGGGCTTCTGTCTGCCAAGCACCCAAGTTGCTATTCCACTCGTGGAGCACTTCAAGCAAGTTGAATGCTCTCTGCAAGCTGTGCAAATCCCTCTGTTCGAGTGCTGCTATGATTTCCTTTCTCCTTCTCACAAAATCCGCTAGCCTCCAGAAGTTGGGCACATCAGCGTTGATGCCCTCCTTTGCTTTGGTGTCAGGCCACAGGACACTCTGTATGATATCTGGCAGAGTCTTCCTCGTTTGTTGGTCTCCAAATATGCGATATGATTCTGACCGTGCCTTGCTAAGCGCAGCCATCAGCTCTGCCCGCACGTAAGAAGCTCTGTCACTTTGTTGAGCACCAGAGCCGGCGTCATCCACAGCCCTGGGAATAGTCATGTACGATGTCCACTTCATCGCTTCGCTCTTAGCTCGAAGCTTAATTTGAAGCTCTTGGGTCTGTCGTGCAAGTTCTGCCAGTTCGTTTTCGCTCTCTTCCTTGGCCGTCTCTAAAGCCGCGAGCTTATCTGTGGTCTTTTGACGTTGCTCCTCCAAAGCGTTGTTCTGGGCTTCGAGATTGCGAAGTTCCGTCTCTTGCGTCTCCCGTTCTCTGTGGAGTTCTCTGAGTCTATCCGATACAATCTGCTCCGTATTCGAATCTCGCTCTTGGGCTTCGGCCTGCATATCTTCAAGCTTGCTCTGGAAAGTGCGAACCTGTTCTCTGAGGCGATCTCTCTCCTCTTTCATGCATGACTCTACCCTGCGCGCTAGCTCGAGCTTCTCTGTCGCCTGCTGTTCTAGAGTACGCTTGGTCCGTTCCGACAACTCTTGGACTTGTCTTTGCAGCGACTTTATCAAGCGGGCTTGTTTTTCATTCTCCGGTACGTCTTTCTCGCCTGAGTCAGATTGATCGCCTGTCTTGGGAAAGGGTTTCTCGAGGTATAGTGCCATCTGGGATTTGAGCTCGAGGATGGCGTCAGCTAGTCGTTTAACAGACCTAATCGTTGTCCTCGTTTCTGCTAGCATCTTGTCCGTCGAATCGCCAGCTTGCCCCAGCTGAAGGGACATATTCAGCAAGCCGACCTGGTCGGATACTCGCTTGCCATGCATCTCTAACAGGTCCACGATGCACTGCAGAGACTCGGGCACCTCTGGACGGCCCAGAAGCATCTTGTAGTTGTGAAGGGCTTCCATCGCTTCTCTGATCTTGCGCTCACTCACGGCTTCGAGTGCGCTCTCGAGCTTCAGTTTCTCATCCAGTCTGTACTTCAGTATGCGGCAATAGTCCTTAATTTCCGCAAGTCTGGCACTGATCTCCCGCTCCAGCGTGGGACACCGCAGGCACTCTGGCCTCGCCGCGGCCAGATCGAGGTTTTCCCAGGTTTTGGTAAAGGGATCTGTGAAGACGGGGCTTGGCTCAGGAGCTACCGTCGTGTCCATGAACTCTACAACCTGGCTGCCTCTAGGACTCAAGACGAATCTGACCCCATCACGGGGAGGCGGGGTTTCTTGCTGAGAGGTGGTGTTGAATGCTGGCGCCTCTGATGGGATGCTCGCCACGGGAACGCCGAGTCTCATTTCGTTGGGAGCTGAACACAGCGAATGGTTGCCGAAGGTCCCAGTCGGAGGCTGCGGCTGGAAACCCGGTGCGAGCGTAGTCGATTCGCGAGCGTGTTGCGCAGCGTAGTCCAGGCTGCTAGCATATCTCTGGCGCACCTCCAACCGCTGTGTCGCGATCTTGGTAAAGGCCATGACGGCAGACCTACGCTCGTCATTATCACGCTTGACCTGGTCATCGAGGATCCTGAGAGAATCGACCAGATCCTTGTTGTCGATCTGGAACATCCGCTGCACCTGGTCCCCTTGATGTCTGGCCCCGACATACTCGTTCACTTCCCTGCTGTTCTTCGCCATGTCTCTAAGCACGCCGTTCAGCTGTTCGAGGTCCTGTTGTAGAATCTCTCCACTATCGCTGATTCTGTTCTCAATGATCTCCTCGGTGTTGCGGTGATCGAGGGCCAGCACGCGCGCCGTCTCAAGGAACGTCTCCCAACGTCTTGCGTCCCTGGAGCACCCACTCATCACCACCACGCCCGGTATGTGGCCCCAGTGATCGCCATTACGCGTGAGAGTCTGCTGGATAAACTCATGCTGCCTCCTTACAGACCCATCCAGCTGCCTCCAGGCCCTCTCCATCCTCTCCGCCGCGCACTTCACCTCCACCTCGTCGAGCTTCTCCATGACGGCATCCATGTCCTGCCGATACGTCAGCCGCAGCCGCGCCTCCTCCTGTGCAGAGGTATACATCAGCCGGCAGAGCTGGTGAATGATGCGGTTCACAAACGGGACCTTGACCCACGTCCGCCCCTGCATCCACTCCAGCAGCGCGGAAATCATGCCGTCGTTGGATGTCTCGAGGTCGAAGAGGGCGTAGTAGTCGTCCGAGGACATGCTCTCCCCTGTCGCCTTTTCGAACTCTTCCTTGCGGAGCCGGGCCGCCACGTCGCGGGTGTAGCGCGGGTACCGGAGGCGGCTCGAGAGCATCGTCTGGAACTCGGGGGGCATCGTCTCGAACGTGTCATTCCAGACTTGGATGATCATCCTGCGCTCCTCTTCGCCGCCGGGGAGGGGCTGCGGGCGGATGAAGATGTGTGTGCGGGCTGGAGCGCCCGGAGGCGGGACCTTGATGCGGCGGAGGGTGAAGCCCGCGCCGGAGCGGCCTGGCTCGTTGTTGTATGCGCCTAGACCGGCGGAGAGCAGACGGCGGCGTTGATGGTTATGGACTGGGGGTGGCGGCTGGACTATGGTGTCTGTTGACGAGGACCGGGAGCCATGCCGTCGTTGGTTCTGGATGGGAGTGGAGGGCGAGACCGGCTCGTTGGATCTCATGAAGCCTGGTATGTCTCCCGGTCTAGTTGGCGTAGGAGTATGTATGATCGGTGATACAGGCGACACGTCTCGGTTTCGAGCATGGCTCTCCCCATGAGACGTGACTGTTTGGGAAGACTCTGGTCGGCAACGTCTCGGAGCTGGAAATTCCATGGGATCTTCGGGATACGGCGGTCTCTCGTCCGTCACCTGTTGAGTGCCGTTGCGCTCTCTTTCTCTCTTTGCCCTCTCACGCGCTGCCACTAGCCCTCTCGGTGTCAAAGGTCTCACAGGTGCAGGTGAAGGGGTTTCTGAGTTGGCTGACCCCGACGCTAGGGGTTCCGCTTCCTGCAAGACTGCCGATGGTAGGATATGAGGGTCATCATCGCCTATACCGTCGTACTTGCCATTTCCAATGACGTTGTTCCTCGGGCCAGTCTCTGTCGAAAGAGGACGTTGAGGGGAGGGTTTGTTTGCTCTTCCGAGCACGGCACTCATCGACTGCGAGTCCAATGCTTCTTCGATCGACAAAGAGTATAAGGGACGATTATAGACTGCTCCGAGTGCAGTCTCAGGACCGGGGTTCTGGTGAAAGCGATCAGAATCGGCAGCGGTAGCTTCTGTTTCCTCGCTAACTTTACGACTGGGGCCAGACCCATCGTCTTTAGAGCCTTCGTCCACCGATTCGGACTTCTTCTTGGGTGGTCGTAAGGCTATTGATGTTGACGTCGATGGTTGGAATTGTGCACGAGGGGAGGACGACGTGAGGTCGAGGGGGCTGATAATATCTGGATTGGGAACAATTGGAGCCAGTGATGTATCGCACGTCTGGCCACTCCCGTTGTCTGAGATTTCAGGGGGCTTTTGCCAGGAAGGTGGTGCGATCTCGTCATCGAGTGCGGATAGTAGGCAACTGATGGCACCTGAGCCAAGTCTAGGTTTGGTATCTGTCTCGCTAGAGGACTCCGTTCCTCCGGGCCCGACTTCCTGCTCGTCCGATGACTCCGGTATCTGTTGAGAAGATGAAATCTGGCTCTGATCTGACGATGAGGTCGTTATGTGCTTCGATTCCGACTCTGGCGAGGCTTCATCGGAGGCGGTTGACGCCTGTGCTGTCACTTGCGATCTTTTTCGTACAGAGTCAGCAGAGATTTCTTCAGCTGGTGTGGCAATTATCAAGGAGGAGGTTGTCGTGCCATCGTTTCCACTGTTCTGTGAATCACTGGGCGTCGGCGACGCTGGCTTCCCTTTCTCCGACATGACACTTGAAATCTCTATCGGTCAGAAAGTACACAGTTTGGTGAAGTCACACTCGAGGGCCCGAGCAGAATCTAGGTCGAACGAAGAATGAGCATCAAATATTCTCAAACCTTTTAGCTTCAAGGGATCTCCTAAAGTTATCAATCTTTAGCCCAACTTTGGATGGCGTTGGATCTTCTCGTGTCTTCTGGAGACCTCATCGTGGCATCATTTGGATGCTTGATGTAAGATGATATGAGGATGATGCAAGGGAATCGCAGAACACAAAGACTTTGGTGTCTATGCTTGCTTTGAAATGAAACAGGTCGCGACATTGATAATGCCATCAAAGGACTCAATGGTTTGACTTCACAAAAGCAGCCAAAAAGGGAAAGATGAGGCAAACAACTTATTGTCAGAGCTTTCTGACGGATCATATGAGTTTCTCAATTAGCGGCGCTCATACAAAACGCTTCCGTTTTGAAATTGTGGCTATTGTACTCGTAATTACCATCATATTCCCGCCCCTTAAACTCACAGCGTTGGCGATCTGGTGACAGATCTACCACGTACACTCCTCAAGTCAGGCAGACTCTCCCGGCTACCGACAACTTCTCCGCTGCCGTTCAAAATAAGATAGAGCCTGCTGTGACTCGCTTCGGAGTGCGTCTCATCATCGTCGTCAATGTCGTCATTAGTATCATCGTCATCATCATAATCATAAAAGGCCTTGAGAACCAGACTCTCCTCGTCCCTAAATCGAACCATCTTCAACCCATCCTTTGTTGCTTGGCCATCAATCTCCAGAGCGCGCCTCATGTTCCGACGCCTCACATCCTCAAACTCAATCATCGTCAGACAATCCCTCGTCAAGCCCCGGATGTTCGTCCCCGCGAACCCGACCCCCCTCACACTGGCGGCCCGGACGTATGCGGCGTGAGCCTCGCGCCAACGGCCCCAGGCACTCAGTACATGACCGCGGTACAGGTATGCGCGAGGCTCGAGGTCGAAGCGGTGCAAGTGCGCCGCAATGGCAAGGGCCTGGTCTGCGGCGTTGAGAGCCTGGTGAAGCTTCAGGATGGACAGAGGCGTTTGCAGCAGAGCATAAGTGCGTAGGAGAAGGGAGTTGACGGTTTGGGCGGCGGAGTCGGCGGCAGGGGCGATGCTGTCGGATTGAGACGAGGTACTCATTAGGAAGGGAAGTTTGCTCTCTGGTTTTGTTCGGCTTGTACGTAGGCTGATGAGATTCTTTGCTTGGTGTCCTGACGAAAACGGCGATTTGCTAGTTTGGCGTACCACGAACTGTGCCGATGGGTGCTCTTCCCCCTTTGCTTGTTCTTCTTTTTGGACTTTAATGTGGTCGGAGCTTACTTTGGAATACCCAAACTCCGAGCTTTGAATTGAAGCATTCGTTTGGCTTTGTTCCGAAGAAGGGGGGGAAAATATTGACGTGCAGTGTTGGGAGCTTGGTTGGCAGAGCTGAGGGTGTTGCAAGGGATGAGATTGACGTAGGACCTTTGGCTCGGGGTAAGCTGAAAGTGAATAAAGAAAGAATATCTCCCAGCTCTCACCTCCAAAATTCGGGGCAAGTACCCAGATACTCAGATCGACTCGTCGAACTTAGGTGACGAAGCAAATCGTGCGATTTGAGATTCTCAAAGTCCCTTGGCCCCCTCTCTCCGCGAGCCGGCGGAACAAGTGACGCAGGGTGTGGAATTGGGCCAAGACTGCTGCCGCTAGTTTGTGTTGGTATGGATCAGCGATTGCCGCGTTCGTCAAAGGCGTGGTATGCCAAGACCAACCGAGAAGAGGATCGAATTGGAAGAACAATGATGGAAGTATTGATCAAGTTGCCTCGCATCTGAGTGCCGAACTCGTCTGGATCGTAGACAGGCTCCCTGCTTACTTATGTGCTCCGAGGTTCCATTGATGAAAGAATTAATAAGAACTGCTGTTTCTTGGCAAGTTTGTTGATGAGAGGGCGCCGGTCTTGTTCAGTGGCATGCTAAATTGAATCAATCGTAAATGTCTTTGAAGGGAGGCCTGGACGCGGCAATGGCGAGGAATGCATGTGTCGTTTTGGGCATGAGTGAGCACAGCCCGATCGATGTGTGGGCAGTGAACGTTCAACGCGCTGCGAAACTAAAGACTATTTCCTCAATGAGAACTGCTCGGCTATAGCCGAGGGGTAATGCTTTAAATCTTAAAGGCTACTATTTAGGTTTGGATCTGGACGCTTTCGTCACGTCAAGTCAAGCTCGGGGTCCAGGCCAAGCTTTCGAGAAGCATCATACACAGTCATCGCTGAAGAAACACAACCGTTACACAGGTGTTCTGGAACTCGTCTTCTTAATGAGAAAGAAAATCGAAGGAAATCGAAGGAAAGAAGAAAGGGAGAAAGGGAGAAAGCATCCGGGAACGGAACATGAAGATGGGCGGTACCTCTCAATCCTGTGCGATGTGATCTGCGTGACGACAACGACAGAGCTGAAAACTCCTCCGATGGTAGAATGACAGAAGAAAAAAGAAAACCCCCAGACACAAGGCGCCAATTCGTATCGTATCTTCGAGCTTTCGGCTCTGGTTCAAGTCGCTTTTTACAGATCGTTCAGCATGTCGTGAACTATTCTGGCCACCCCGCGCCTTTCCGGCCGGAAAGGTAGCTTCTGAGACCGGTATTTGAGGCGTAAACTCTAGATGTAGCGGCGATGAGCAATTCCGGCGGCTGTTCTAGCCCATCGACGCATCTACCTCAGCCTGGCCTGGTTTTCGCCTCCAGAGGCCTCTCAAACTCGGTAGACTCCAGTGTCTGATTGCAAAAGCACTCAAGGCGTCAGAAAATGGCACAAATTGTTCGAAACGGGGCTTGGCGCGTGTCTTGGGCGTCAAGTGCCTTCTCGTACGTAGATGTTTCCGTAGCCCACGCTTCTGGCATAGGCTCAACGCTGGCGAATGTGGTCCATGGCTCCATTATAACCATCGGCCGCCTCGGATAATCGGCACATGACTTTGGTCTCTTCCATGAATGGCAAGAATCTCGAAGCTTTCGAAGCACTCAAATCCAACGACATTGTCTTGACGAGTTGAAATGGTTGATGTCGGACAATCCTTGCGGTACCACCCTAACTCGGGTGGACACCATGTATTCGACCTGAACCTAGCTCTGATTATTGTTTCGACATTGCTGGTCTCTCTCCGTCTGCTCACACGGAAGATCATAGTAAAAGCTCTAGGCTGGGATGATTTCCTTGCAATAGTAGCTTGGGTAGGTCAAGCCGCTCGCTGGTGTAAGTTGCATGGATTAACACGGGAACCAGGCCTTGTGTGTCACACTCTCGGCCCTTGAAATGGACACAACCAACTACGGCACCGGGGCCCAGATCGAAGATGTTCCCCGGCCGACGCTGCTTCAATTCTTCAAGGTCAGCTATGTCTCATACTGAAAGTCCTCCGCGGAACTAACGTGCTGCGAATAGAGGCTTTCTATCATGGAGTTGGTCTACTTTCTCGCTTCTGGTGCCGTACGCCTGTCTATATTAGCGTTTCTTCCACGCTTGAGCAAGAACAGTATGATTATCCCAGTCCCCAACATACTTAGTTGCTGATGTTTGTTGCCAGAGATATATATCTGGAGCATATACGCTCTCAATGCTATGGTGATCATAGTCAGTTTGTCGGGATTCTTTTTCGTCTTGACAGAATGCTCGCAGATACCGTAAGAGGGACACTCCCCTGAGGCCTAGCGATGGCTCGCTGACTCATTGCTCCAGTGATGTCTTCAATTATTCTAGCACATGGCGACAATGCAGAGACAAACGCGAAGAGCGATCGATGATGCTGGGCCATGCCATTATTTGCATCTTTGTTGATTGTATGCTGGTCGTCCTTCCGCTATGTGTTGTGACGAACTACGTCAAAATGGGCGTCAAGGCCATACAAATCTTGCTGGTTTTTTCTCTGGGAATCTTTGCTGTCGTTACTGGCATCGTTCGATTTTCCATTATCGTCACGACGGACTTCGGTGTAAACACGTAAGCACTCCTTATGGCGAATAAGGCGCGGCTTAGACTAGCGACTTCAGCATACTGACACAGTCTAGGACGTACAAGATGCTCACTGTAGCTGCATGGACCGACGCCGAGCTCCATGTTGGTCTCTGGGTCGGCTGTTTCCCCGCCCTGCAACCTCTACTCCGACATGTAACTTTAATGCTCGGAATGCGCAGCCAGTTGGACAGCACAGGTGCCGCAAGCAAGAGGAACACGATGACGTCCACGGCAACTTCCAATAGAAAAAGCGCTTTGGACAGGTGGTCACGGAGTTCTGGTAACGTGCGCAGTGAGAGCGCCGGAAGCCAGCCGTTGGAAAGCGGCGCTGGGCAAGTCGAGGCTGTAGGTGGCCAGTCTGGCGATGTTGAGATGGTGGATCTCGAGAAGGGGGAAGGCGCTGGTCAAGTTGGCAAGCAACCAGAGATCTCGACACCAGGAAAAGTGGGTGAGAGCTTATGAGCAGCATATATATAGGTATATTCTAGTGGCGTATCCAAAGCATCTGAGTTATCTGAAGTGAAAGCGTGCATGAAATCCGAGAAGTTGTTGGTAAGAACAGTGAACAATTGAATTCTTGAGGATGGAGGGACAGTGCCGAGCACAAAGTCAGCACTGTCATACACTACGTACCTGAGGCACGGACCAACCCTTCTTCTTCACGCACCTTTCATCCAACGACGACTTCGGCTCCTTTCTCGAACGGAGCACTGCGAACTTCAGAATCTACCTCGACAGAAAGCGACAACGTCAGTCACGCCATCTAGATCCTATGCAATCTACACATGCTTTCCCCCCAGTCAACTTCATACGAAACTCGAGATTGAAGTTCATGTTCGAGATATCAAGACCAGTCCAGCTCGTACAAAACCAAAACCCCTGAGAGCTAGTTCAAGACATCGTGTCTCCTCTTGTTCATACCCAACGGCACCACTTCACAGTTTCCGCGTCTAAGCGTCGCCTCTCATTTCCAGTACCCACTAGTCATCACAGGAGACAGTATCAATATGGCATCACTCTCAGCATTTGGGTATCCCGCAAGATTTGCACCCGGCAATATTGGACCGCTCTGGACTGCCCTCTTCTACGGAGTTCCCGTGAGCAATATTGCCATCCATCTGGCCTGGCTGACCGCGCTCCATCCAATCTTCTCTTCGCTCCCGATAGACCGCAGGCGTCTTTCCGCATTTCTTCACAAATACTTTATGCTTAGCTCAAGTGACCCCCGACTACTCACCTTCTTTACCTCGGCCTTTAGTCACATCCAGCCTTTACACCTTTTCGTCAACATGTCAACATATAAAACTTATGTCGAGTCGTTTTATTTACTCAGTGTATCGCCGCTACGATTCATTGTACTGTCCCTTGGGAGTGCAATCACCGCTTGCCTTTGCCACATTTTCAATGCCAGGAGAAGACGGGGAGCAAAGAACAATGCCGAGAGGACGGCTGTTGGAGCAAGCGGAGCCTTGACTGGTCTCGGCACAGCTCTGGCGTTAATGTTTCCCACGATGAAGGTCCGCCTTTCCGGGACACATCAAGTTCTACCCTTGCGCCTTGTTGTCTTGGGAATGTTTGCCGTGGATGCCTACTGTCTGAGTACCGAGCGGGACACAGGAGTGGGACATGCCGGACACCTCGGAGGCGCAGCTTTTGGCTTAGCATACTTCCTCTGGAGGAAAGCTACGGGTGCTTTTACTTTGTAACCTCAAGCAATTTACATTTCGAAATGCAGAAGCTATGGGTAAATATAAATATCGAGATCAACTCTAGCCACCCAAGGTATATACAGGAGAATGGTATCCTGGTGACAAAAAAGACAAAAGGCCGCAGCATTCTCAGCCACCGAAAATATCAAACGCCACGCTACCGCATGAAAGAGGATATACCATTGCACGAATCGAGAGCCACTCTTTGCCAACTTCTCGCTACCACAGTTCTTCACTATTTACCATCGGCTTTGCGTTGGGCTTGGTGTTACTGTAGCGATTGGGATTTGTCGGCTGTTGAGTGCCCTGGAAGGTTGGACTCATTTTGTGTTGTGAGCCAATGGGACTCAACTTGTGTGTCGAAGCAATGGGGCTTGGGTAGGTGACCGATCTATTGCCGGGACTACCGGCAACCTTGCTTGCCATTGTTGACTCTCTCAAGGGAACTGGGCCAACTCCGACGGGCGACATCTTCTTGTCTGGGAACCGGGTGGCAGTAAATCCCGGCTGACGGGGTCCTTTGTGGTCGTCCCAAGGTGCAGTTGGCGACTGCAGAGGCGACGGAGCACCGCGGCGCGACCTCAGTGATAAAGATCGATATCGCGGCGATGTCAGGCCCCACGCTCGACCGAAAGATGCACCAGGATGGTATACGCATAAGACTGAGGCGACGAGGAATGGCAGAGCACCTCCGATGACCAGTGAAGCGGCTTCCGACCGCTGAAGAGGGCTATCGAGTCCGTCCCAGAACTCAACGAGGCGATAGATGGTGTGCCCCACCAAGACGACAGCGACTGCTGGTATCACTGAGAAAAGATCGTCAGACTATGTTGGTCCTGCGGCAATGGGTCTACTTACTCTTGACGAAGTTCTTAAAACGCGGTGCTTGGTACACGGCAATGTGTTTCGGGTCAGGAAGCTTCTGGGTGAACCAGAGGAACAATCCGACGAAGAGCAGCAACGCCAAAATCTGAACGCCTAAGCCGGCCAGAAGAATCGACGGTGTCTATTGGGGCTTGTTAGAGATGGGGACTGCTAGGCAGCAGAACGATGAAATCCTTACCTGTACACCTCCGAGCCCAAAGACAGCTGAGACAACCCCGGCAATTTCCAATGCAATGACGAGAGCAAGAGCGAAGATGAGGAACAAGACAGCCACTCTTGGCCGGGTAAAGCCAATGCCGAGACCGTAGAGGGCGATGACATGGGGAAGGATCTGACATATGGCCGCTGCGATGAGAGTAGGGCCCAAGATGGCGCCGATGAGCCAAAGGGAGAATGAAGTCCCGCTGGCGGTATCATTTCGGAGCCTCAATCTTCCAGCGAAGCCCAAGACCTCGAGGAGAAGACCGGTCGCTAGAGTCGACGCGAATAAAGGCGTCTTGAAACGAAAGCCTTGGTACAAGGCCAGAGGCACGAGCAGCGCAAAGGCTACCAGAAAGATGGCACTCCCAATTACCGAAGGCGAGTAGGAGGTAAAGCCCCCCGGGTAGGGGCACGAGTCTCCGCAGTCGCCTGTCATTGTGCTCACGTTCCACTTGACAGGCGACAGTGAACGTTGCGTCGCTTGACCATCGGATGGCTGGACATGCCGAGAGAAGGAGCGGGAAAGGAAGAAGCGCGCCGGGCATTGGGGATATATACACGCGGCAGAAGCCAGGTGTGTAATGGATCAAGCATTCCAGCAAACCGGTCTGCATAATCGCGACGGTTGGGATATGGATGATTGCGGACAGCAGAGGCCGTGGACAATGAAGACGAGCGGCCCGACGGAGATGGAGGTAAGGTACACGCAAGACCAAGCCGGGGTCGATTCAAACGGGCACACCATCAGCTTCCGCGGTTTCATCCGTTATGGATACATCCACTACGGAAGGGACGTTGTACCAACAAGAACTTTCTTCAGTCGACCTTCAACCGGGCAACTTTGTGAGCACTTCTCATCGGTGACTGACAACGCAGCAACGGCGGTACCTATAAGACGAATCGCAACTTGACTGATGAACAACAACAAGCAGTGCTGACTGGCGTTTTCTAAGATGCCCAACTGCCGCGAAGGAAGAAGAAGGCGCTGACGCCTCCCAACGAGCCAGCGAGGCTGGCAAGCAAACAAACACCAGGTGTGGGTGTGGATAGCGGGCGTGAGAGGGCGAAGCCGTCCCAGCGGAACGGTTCGACGGTGCAACAGTCGAAAGTTTGCAGATCCGGGCCCTCTTCAGCATGAGCTCTGGACCAATCAAGCAGGCAAGGTTGGCGGTTGCGGCCTGTTTACCCACGGGCGGCGCAGATGAGGAGGTTACATTGGACGGTCATTCAGTGAGGCCATGTTGGTCTTCGATGGCCGGTGAGCAGGGGGCCGTCGTCCAATGGCGAAAGCAGCCGTTGCTCTCATCTGCCCTACAGCATGGCTACGTGAGGGTGTCGAACACATTGGTTCACAGCCAGTCCTTTGAACTTTGAGCTGCTACGCCGCATTGCACTTTGGGCCTGGGGACACGGTGGAGGCTGGGGGCAGGTAATCAAGACGTGGTCCCAGAAGCGGGGGAAACAGTCAACGATGGGATATCATTCGCGAAAGGGCAAACACACTCGAGAGGCCAGACAGGTTTCAAAATCGAAGCCCGACTTACGGATTTCCTGTCTCGTGCGTGTTGGTTCTGAGGCCAGCCAACGGTAGCATCGATGATCTTCATGCAGTGAGGGAAGAGAGGGTGAACATGAACATGGAAGAAAATGAGAGGGCACTGGCCGATCGCCAGGAGCCGATGAATCATGGCCGACGTACCCGAGATTTGTTTCTCCTGCCATGGGCTGCCATGGCAGGTGCAGTGCAACAAACTGTGTGCGCACGCCCGCACCGCACAGCAGGCAACTGCAGGCTGCATAATGCGGCCGCCCTCACACCAAGACACCCTCGAAAGATGGCGGCGGAAGACGACAGCAAGGAGATGAACCAACGGCCGGTGGGCGTTGGTTTTGGCAGTTGGGGCGACGGGGAACCTGGGACGGGAAAGTCTGAACTCTGATCAAGGACAAGGACCGGGACCGGCACCCGAAGGCGGAACAGGATTGGCAAACTTCAGGGCAGCATCTGGCAATCTGCAGTGCTGCAGGCCAGCGAAGCTAAGCAAAAAGACCAACACCAACAACGTTATCCATGAACTTTGCCTGTGGACTATCCCAACCCCCGGTCGACAAGGGCGCAGATCGCACAGAGCATATGGACAGAGACAAGGGTGAAGGAGGAGGAAGTGGAAGAAAGAAGCTCTGACCAAGCTTGGTGGATTGTGCGGGAGACATCCGTCCACTAATCACTAGCGGCCGAAGCCCAGGGCAAGCCGCAAGCCGCACGCCAGGCCCCCAAGGAAGGCTCCACTATACTTCCAGCACACGGTGGACCCTCCGGCCGAGAGACCCCCCCCCCCTCGCTGTCGCGCTAAACTGTTCGCGGCCGCGGTCCTGCGTGACGTCAAAGAGCCGGGCGCTTAAACATGCTTGGCAAACACCTCTCATTGCTCAGAAATGCGCGTTTCTTCCTTCCTTCCTTTCCGCAGCACACACACACATACTCTCCGTATGCAGACTTTGGGATTGCAGAGCAAGCATCTTCGTTCCACACTCCATTACGAACCTTGTACCACAGTAAAGAAAACAGAAACGTCGAGGGACCGGAACCAAGCCAGGCCATTCACATCCTCGAGAAAAACAAGCAAAGCAAACAAACCGGTACAGAAAAGAGGGGGGACAACCAACCAACTGAGGCGAACGGAGGGTACATCCAATCCTCATCAAGTGACTAGAGAATCAGAGACTTGCCAGATTCTCTCTCCCTCACTCTCTCTTCTCCCCACCACCCCGCGCCCGCGGCGGCTTACGCTCTTCCTTCCATGCCATGAACAGCGCACGCCTCACGAGGTGCCGCCCTTGCGCGCCCTCCTCACGGCTCATTTGTGCGCCAACCGCGTCTCATCGCTTGCTTCGCCCTCTTGCAGCCCGAGACAGCCGTCCTTTCTCCGTCTCGCACTTGCGGCCGAAGCACGAAGGTGACCCGAGGTTCAGAGACCTGGGCAAACAGATATCGGACGAGTATGCCGTCGTTAGAGAACACTATGGTACCATTTTGTCCCCCTCCTTCTTATCCGATCCGATCCTCTCCCCTTTCTCTCTTGTTTGCCCTTTCAAGGATATTGTCCTCCTAGTACCGTTTCGAGTCCTCCTGCTTCCCAACCCCGCCTCTGTCCAAACCATAATGATCCACCCGCACTTACACGCCCGCCAGACACGCCAAAGAACCCCATCGTCCTCGCTCACGGACTGATGGGCTTCTCCGAACTGCGCCTCGGCGCCTATGTCCCGCCGATCCACTACTGGCGCGGCATCTCCGACTCGTTGAGCACCCTCTCCGGTCCGTCCAACATCATCACCACCTCCGTCCCGCCCTCGGGCTCCATCGAGGAGCGCGCCGCAAAACTGGGCGCCGACATCGCCGCCAAAGCCGGCGGCCGCGCCGTCAACATCGTCGCGCACTCCATGGGCGGGCTGGACGCCCGCTACATGATTTCCCATCTCAAGCCGCGCGATGTCAAAGTCCTTAGTCTCGTCACCGTAGCGACGCCGCACCGCGGGAGCGCGTTTGCGGATTATCTGTTGGATGGGCAAGGCCCCATTAAGCTCGCGAATCTGTACGGGCTTATTGAGCGTGCCGGGTTGGGGACGCAGGCTTTTGAGCAGCTTACGCAGCGGTACATGGAGGGAGAATTCAACCCTGCTACCCCTGACAGCGATGAGGTGCGGTATTTTAGTTATGGCGCGTGTACGGACCGGCCGCCACTACTGAGCCCGTTTCGGCAAAGTCATTGGGTCATTGAGGAGGCCGAGGGGGCGAATGATGGGTTGGTGAGTGTTGCGAGTAGTCGGTGGGGAAAGTATCAGGGCACGCTGCTGGACGTGAGCCATTTGGATTTGATCAATTGGTCGAATCGGCTCAAGTGGACGTTGCGCAAGGTGTGGATGGGGCAGACGAGGACGTTTAATGCTGTTGCGTTTTATCTCGATATTGCGGATATGTTGGCCAAGGAGGGTTTATGAAGCAGTTGATGTATAAGGTATGCGAGGAACTCACTTTGAGGGCTATGTATAATGATGCTGGCTACTACTGTAATCTCAACTAGGAGGTGTGTAAGACTACGAACGAGCAAGGGATAGACGCAGCGAGCAGTGGCGTTATCGGCTGGAATAGATCCAGAAGACGTGTAAGCATTGAGACGTATTATAAGTCTTTGACCAGAAGGCTACAAGAGGGAAAGGAGCCTACGACATATATCACGAGAGCACGAGCATGAATGGAATGTCCATCACCCATGGTTGACATAGATTTGCATTGCATAGCAAAAGTCAAGTTTCCTGAAGTAAGGCACCTTACTACTACAGGGGTTATCAATGAAGACAGCTTCGCATTCACTCCCCGGCAGCAGTGGGCACTATAAGTCCCATGGCTGAAAATTTGAGCTGGTTTCCAGAGATCGAGTCCAACTTCCGACGAGGACGCGTCACTTTCAGGGCCCATCATCATATCAGCCCAAAGGAAACAATCTATCCATACTATCTGTAGCTTATAAATAGCCGTAATCGCAGCCGCAACAAGAAGCCAGCAACGCACATGTATGTAGCCGTGATAGGGTACTGCATCGAGATCCGAAGCGACAAGCAGATCTCAAGTCAAGGGTTTCTTAGATGAAAGAATGAAAGAATGCTGCTGCAGTATAGCACCTAGAGCTAGGTGCACCGTCGAGTCAGCTAAAGACTCTCATCACCTCTTCTCCATCCCTCTGGCTCGTATTCACTAGTGAATACTATACATTAAAGAGAAGATGACTGGTACCTTGGCGACGGTTTTGGATACTATCATGGTCTATGCGAGAGACTAGAAGAGAAGTGACAATAGCAAGGCCCATTACCTAGAGTCTGGATAGCCTAAGGCTATGGAAAAGGATGAGCAAGGCTGCGTCGGCGGAATTTAGAACCCTTTACAGAAGCCATCCTTTGATAATAAGGTAGAGCGGTGACTCCTTCCTTCCGACTGGTCCTACCATCAGGAAATTTTGCGGGCATCTAGCTAGGTTGATCTGCGACATGCCCAGTAGTATAAAATCAGGCTCGTTGCGTCGAGAAAAGTCTCCTCGGCAAGAACACATGATGCGGTATGATGATGATGCGGTGTGACTGTAAGCGAGAACATCTCCGGCAAGAACCTATCGCGGCCACAGTCTCGTCTTGCTGCGGACATGTTGCTAGCTCGTTGGACGACCTGGAGACCAGCCCGGCGAGCTTCTCGAGGGGGGCGAGCCCCTGCGCATCGGCGGCGTGGGAGATGCCGAGCTGCAGGTGGGCGAGGGCGGTAAAGTGCTCGAGAGCGGCAACTTTGGTCAGGCTTCTACGAGGTACACCACGCAGAGATGGGAGAAAATCGACTTCAACTACAGCGCCAGTCAACTATCTTTGCCATTTCCCTTCTATTCGCCCCTGAATATTGAGCCGACTAGGAATGCCAACATAGTAAGCCTTCTTTCGTCTTTTTTTTTTCTCAGAAAGACCCGTGCAGGGATGCGGTGGGAGCATGTGTCTTGCCTTGGCTCAGATCACCCGCCGTTTCTAGAGGCTATCATGACTGTTCCACCTTGCAACTCGTCAACCAGTGGGGGGTTTGCTGCGTTGTAAACGAAACGAGGTACCTCACGACCGAAAGTTTTTATACCTCCGCAATCCAAAGTCCCAGGGATCCGGAGACGTACACGGGGTCTCGGAAAGCGCAGAGAGAAGCTTCACATCTGGGATACCTCAGTTGGTAGCTCTACAGACACGGCTTGTGCCTTGGATATAGCGTCACAAACACTAGGAAGCTTTAATAATGGCTATGCTATACTTGAAGAGATACCCGGCATGCTACCTGAAAAGAAAGTACCCTTCCAGCTCCGCTTTATCTGGTACAGACGAGACCAGACCACGAAAACAAAACATGCGAAAGTCTTCCCTCGTCATAGAGCCACGAAAGCAGTGCCCTGTGAAGAGTCATGTAGTTCAAAGTATAACACCCCCTCAATATTGGTCATGGTATAATAAACGAAAACGCTTCACCCTCCACTAATCCCTTTCCTTCCCCCTTCCCAAACCGGTGCCTACTTGTCGAGCTTCCACCAGCCCTCTCAGAACATACCAAACAAACCCCGACATTACTCATTAGTTTCTCCCCAATGTATCCCTATCCCTCCAATCTACACCCGCATCTTCTCCCAAGGAGCCCGAGCATCTCAAAACACACAAACATCAAAACACACCCACTTCCAGACCCCATCTCTCAGCTCTCATCCACCTTCTCTAATTCCCCTTCTCCGGAATCTGACTCGGCGCATTCTCGTTCGTAACGCCACTATACGCCGGCCTCGACTCCGGTCCCGGCGCAGGCGCCTCCGCAGCCATAGCCTCATCGTAGCTAGGCGGCGCCTCGTCGAAGTTGGCTGCTCCAGGCGTGCCCATCTGCGGCGGATACAGCGGATCATACTGCGGCGCCGCCATAGCAGGGTGTTGCTGCGGTGGTCTCTGCTGCTGTTGACCATGTGGTCTCCCCTGCGTGGCCGTCACGGGGGCAGACTGCGCCGTGCGAGGGGGTAACCTAGGCGGCATGCTCATCGTCGCCGCGCCGGGCCTGTTAGCCTGCGCCGCGAGCGCCTCGAGGAGCTGCGGCGGCGGCGCGATACCCGAGTAAATTTGAATCTTGGAGAAATGAAGCGGGAGGTAGATGGTCTGCGCCGCGGGGTTCTCCTTTGTCGAGTTAAGGAAGCCGCCGCGCGTGGGTGGTTTGCCCCAGCAGAGACCCAACTGGATGTCGAGCTCGTAGAAGCGCTGGAGGTTACACGCCATAAAGGAGGGCGCGACGGTGTTGGGTAGCGGGATGGAGCGCCACAGGTCGTCCGGGATGACGCTCTCGAGGTTCAGGTCTTCCGAGGTCGGGTCCGTGAGGAGCGGGATGCTGAGACCGGACTGCGTGGCGACGACCCATTTGCTGACTTCCGTGTTGAAGAGGTCGTGGCATCGTACGCGGGTATTGCCTACGAGTTCGATCTGGACGGAGGTGAGGTATACCTGCTCATGTGATGGAACGAGCTTCTTTGCGATGAGCCGTAGCGGTAAAGGTTGATTGCACGTCAGGATCGGGGGGTGTGGCAGGCGCGCAGAGAGCTCGATGGACGGCGGCACGGCATTGGCGTCCCCGGTGCCGTCGTCCCTGCTGGAGCCGAACATGGTTGACTTCTTCGTCTGTAAGCTCCGGGGCCGCGGCTTAAAGGTGAAAGGTCGACGGGCAAAGGCTTCCTGCGAGGTCTTTGGAGGCCGGGGTGGCTCGATGGGCATAAACTTGAAGCCGATCTGGTACCGCCAGTTCTCCTTCAAGAAGCCAGGGCGCTGGATGGTGACCTTGAGGTAGTACCGCACCTCGGCCTGCCGGGGGAACCCGGTGAAGGACGGCGGCAAGGTTTTGGTGACGTGCTGCAGGAAGAGCTGCTTGCTCCCGTCCATGACCCGGGCACCGCCGAGTCCAAAGGGTCCGATGCCGGCGCCGAAGCCTCCCATGCCGCCGATGCCACCAATCTTGGACATGGAGACGGGATCGCTGCAGGCATTGTTGATGGGCAGCTTGAAGTTGAAGGGGAACTCGTGCTGACCTCCCTGGATGACGTAGCTCTGGGAGAAACTCGAGCCGCCGCCGCCGAGGTCCTCCTCGTACGTCGGGAAAACCTGTGCGACCCGGTAGAGGATTTTGTGGTTCTCACTTGCGATGCTCCCGGGCCCGCCTCCGGGCCGGGTGTTACGCTCGTGATAGCTGTCCTGCGGCAGGCCGAGGGCGGTCTTGGACTCACCCTCAAGCTTGACGACGATGCCGCCAATCTGCTCCGGCCGGCTCAGGTGGAGCACGACGCGGCCTTTGACATTGTCTAGGTTGGTGTAGAACTCTGGCGCATTGTCGAGTGCTATTCTGATCGACATGGTTGTGGGTTTCTGGTATTTGCTCAGTCCGCGCCTTCCTTGTTTAAGAGGATATCCTCTGGTGGTGGTGGTGTGGGAGGTGTCGTCGGTTGATGGTATGTGGTTCAGGTACCCAGTGCGCTTCGTGTAATGTGCTGCCACGACTTTGGTTCTCTGCAATGGTGGTTTTGCCGGTCGGAGGTGGGATGAGGCACAGACAAACAGGCGCACCAGACGTCGCAAAACAGCTCCTCGACCTCAATTAAGTGAACGTATTGCACCGTGCGAGCTCCGAATTGGAATGAGGGGCAATCTAGTCCAAGCAACCTAGGTGGGGTGGTATCTATTTTTTTCCCGGTCTTGGTCTTTTTTCTCTTGGCTGCGCGTAATGCTTTGCGTTAGAAGTGAGGTGTATGGAATAGTATGGTGAGGTAGCCAAGAACGACGGCGGAAGAGGAAGTGAGGAAGGTTCGCTTCAGTTCATCAGAAACCTGCAAGAAATCGAGAGGGAGCTTTCATCGGAAGTCGTGGAAAGAAGCAGAAGCTACAGTCGGCGCAGTCGGCGTCGTCGGTATGGTCTGCGTCGCCGCGGGATGCGGGAAAGGCCGAAAAGCTCAGGCGACTCGCTGTCTCGGCTTTCCTGGTAATAGACGATGATTAATTCGATGTTGTCCGTATGGATAGAACACAGCGTGATGTTCACAAGGAGGCGACGTAGACGCGTGTGGCTGAGCCCTCTTCCAAGCCTCGCCGTCAGAGCTGAGTGACAATTGAGTTGGGGAGTACCAGTAGGCCTACGGAGGCGAGACCGAAGGCGCAGGCTCAAAAGCTCCAGCCGTCTCTCAAAGCAAGGGTAAGGAAAGGACGGTGCCTATTGCAAACGCTCACCAGGAAGCACAAAAGCAAAGTAAGATAAGGTAAGATAACAGTTCACTGTTGTCAAGCCAAGTTTATTCCCGCAATAAGTATGGGTAAGAGGCCGCGTTGAGTTGGGTCGATTCGATACAGATACAGCGCATGTGTCAGGTTGAATTCAGCTCTGGCAGGTGGAAGGAAAGGTAGGGTTGATGTCATTGGGCGTTTGACCCAATCACCATCGCTGTCACTCCCTTGCTGCCAGTCGTCTTACCTCGAGACTTGAGGTACTTTAGTCCTCTCACCTTGCCGATATTGCCGACCTTGGGTTGTACCTTAAATAGACCCCTTGTCAACCTACGCAGTAAGAGGCGAACCACCCTCTGTTGAATTTCTGCCTGACAAAGCTTGAACATCGTCAAACTTGAGATGATTGGAAAATGTGTACCCATGGCCGAGCTCACTTTGAGCAAAAGTACTCAACCTTGAGCCATGTTGAAAGTACACTTTCTGCATGAATAAAGTCGTCTCACAGCTATAATATGGCAGGCTTGTGGGTATTAAAGTGCTGTATGTATTCGTACACATGCTTTGAAAGCTACGTAACTATAGCTTCCAGTGCCTATCGTCATTGTCGCTGAAAGCTGATGGCTAATATCATGTTGTCTCTCCTAATCCCCTCATCAAACATGTAGGATTGCAATGCTTTAATGCAGGGTATCCCACCCTATCACGAATTCCCCAAACGCCCAGATGTTGCAGATGGTATCATTTCGGCATCCCAATGCCCGCGCAAAGCAAAAAAGAAAAAAAAAAAAAAAAAAAAAAAAAAACTTGTTTCCCAGAGCAAGAAAGGGAGCGTATTCGAGGTCCCAAATCATACGTCCAAAGCTCTAGCCTCCTGGCAATCAGTCTAGCTCAATGATCTCTGGCTCCGGTATCGACGGCCGTGTCTTGGCCCGTTTGGCTGGCGGCTGCCCGTTTTCTGCATCATCTTCCTCGTCGTCATCAGCCTCCTCTTCCTTGGCTTTCCACACTCCGTCAGCCCTAACATAAATGGTCTTCGTATTAAGTTTGCCCTCAGCCTCGAGGCTCTTGCGAACGTCTTCCATAAACTTATCAACTCGAAGACTATACGGGCGAGCATCCCCGTCGCAAAGAGGGCACTTCCACTTGTCAACCAAAGAAGGCTCAGGTCTCCCTTCGATGCCGCGATTGCAGACGCGGCATGCATCGCCAGCCCCGTGCGCGGTACACCTAGGCTTGGCCGGTCGGGTTTGTAGCCAGTTGATCAGATCAAAGCACTCCATGTGTGTGCAGCTAACACCGCGTGCTGGAATCTGGAATATCGTGGCGCTAAAAGGGTCGGCCAAATCAATGCTGAGATCGCTACCAACCACAACCAGCTCATCGTCCCCATCAGAAGACACTGGTTCCAGGCGGCTCCGGATAACTTGCTTTGTCGTGTCCGCCGAGATTGTGCCCTGGCTCAAAACCATATTGACAATGCTGTCATGACTCAGCGTCTCAACCACTTCAACACCCATAAAGTACATCATGTTTGGCTTTTGAGCCGCGGGCATGGGGCTGATGCTGACAGATATTGAATTTGTGCCAGCCAGTATGTATGGAGTGAGTTCCACAGGCAGGTGCTGCCCATTATGCTGCTTTCGTCGGACCGCAACGACATTGTCATTGACCATGATAGCAATATGTTCAGGCCAGTAGGATTGCGCTACTGCCCAGACAGATTCTGAGATGGTTGCCGGTTCAGCCGGGTTG